GTGCACATACAGTAGTAACATTCATCGGGTGTCAGGGAGGGTGGAGGAGGGGATGGGTATATTCACACCTAATGGGTGCAGTGCGCACTATCTCGGGGATGGACATGCTTGAAGCTTGAAGCTCTGACTCAGGTGGGACAAAGGCAATATATGTAACCTAAACATTTGTACCCCCATAATATGCTGAAATAAAAATAAATTTAAAAAAATTTTTTTGATATGTTTATGCTGTAAAATTCAAAAACTTCAAAATGTTGTACAGTGAAAAGTCATTTTTCCTCCCATTCCTGACCAAAGTCCCACAGTCCCAGTTCCCTTCATTAGAGGCCACTGTACTTGTTGTTGTTGTTTGAGTACCCATTCAGAGATAGTGTATTGATATACAACCTATGCACACACAGCTTTTACACACACAGCTGTTTATAGATCCCTGTTCCCTTCCATAAACAGTAGCATATTATTCACCCAATAGTGCACCATAATTGTTCACTTACCAATTTATCACATACATTGTTCCCATCAGAAGCTTTTTTTAACAGTCACATAGAATTACCTTAATCGGATGTACCATAATTTATTTAACAAGCTCCCTACTGACAGACATTTAGGTTGTTTCCATGGTAATGACAACTTAAAGGGATTCCCGCCCATATGCAAGTAATTCTTTCCTACATCCTCTGCTAACAGTGTGCACAATCTTAAAAGTCATTTCCTATTCCTTTATTTTCCAGTCCCCTTCACTGCGAAGTCCTACTCACTCATTTCTCTCTCTCGACTGACATATCTCTTTCTTTTCATTTCCTCAGGCTACACTTCAGTTCTGTAGAAGAATCTCCCCAGACCTGCCCCAGTCATATTTCTGTCTCTAGGCCTCCCCCTACTTTAATTTATTCAACACACAGCTTTAGGAATCATTCTTCCAAAATCACTGCTTTATTTCATTTAAAAATTCATTTATTTATTTTTAGAGATGGGTTCTTCTTACTATGTTGCCCAGACTGGAGTGCAGTGGCTATTCACAGGTGCAATCATAGCTCACTGCAGCCTCGAACTCCTCAGCTCAAGCCAAGAGATCCTCCCGCCTCAGCCTCCTGAGTAGCTGGGACTACAGGTGCATGCTACCACACTAGACTAACTTTTTAAAAATTTTTTGTAGAGAAAGGGGTCTCACTATGTTACCTAGGCTAGCCTTGAGCTCCTGGCCTTAAGTGATCTTCCCACCTTGGCCTCCCAAAGTGCTAGGATTACAGGCATGAGCCACTGCATCCAGCCACAAAGCACATGCTTTTTAACTGCCAACCTACACTGTGTTTCCTAAATGGAGATAACATCATCTAGCTCGTGGTGATGTGAAGATTAACGGAAAGGAGTTATGTAAAAGCACCCAGCCCAAGCTTCACATGGCTGCCTCCTTCCCATCATTCAGGCCTCAGCCAAAATGTTACCTCCTCACAGAGGAATTCCCTGACTATCCTAGCCCCAAAGTAGCAACCTTTCATTAATCCCACATTGTCTAACTATTTATCCCATTTCAGTTTCTTTAGCATTAGCACTGTCCGAAATTTATTTATACATTTATTTATGGGTTTTATTGCCTGTCTCTCCTTACTAGAATGTAAGTTCCAGAGAGTAGGGACTGTATCTACCTTGTACACTGCTTGGCTTAATATATAAATGCTCAATAAATATTGTTGCAGGAACGAATTAACAGCTCATCTTATAGACGGAATAGATTTTCTTACCTTTGGCTTCTGTGAATTAAAAAAGGAAAAATAATTCAACATAAATCGACTCTAGCCCATTCAGATTACCAAAATTGAAAGAGAAATTTTACTAACAATAGGATGTAAAAAAAATTTTAAACACTTAAATCCTCATAATACCACCATGGGGTAGATATTAACATGGGCAGGGGAGATCAAGGCTCTGAGTTAGTAAATGGAAGAAGCAGGACCTGAACTCAGGTTTTTTTGACCCAAAACTCATGTTTTTAACCATTACATTAGACTGCTTTCCCCAAGTGAATTGAGTGGATATAAGCATTCAGATCCAAGACAATTTTGCTTTTAATAGTTTGGGACATCCTTAGATCAGTAATCTCTTCTAAAAAGAACTACCCCAGAAAAACCTGGCATTATTTGCAGCAAATGACTAGAAACCCTGTGAAGAAAGGTTATTTACTGTGTTTACTTTAGTCTTTGGCTCTGAAGAATCAAACCATGTCCTACCTGGGCAGCCTCGTAAGTGATGGTCTTGGTCTCAGTGTGGACGATAGGAACATCCTTGGTTGGGATTTCACTTTTCCCAGCATTGGCAGTATCTGAGATGGTGACAGTTTGCGTCTTCACCAGGGGAGGCTGTAAAGCAGTAAAGAAACAGTTATCAGAGTCCTTCTGAAGGCTGTGGAGAAGTCAATCTTCTGACATTGATCTGATCAAAGTGTCGCTTTAATCAAGCAAAAGGCTAGCTCAATCTCCAAAGGTACCCAAGACTTGGACACTATTCCAAAGTAGCCCTGACAAGGCGTCAAATCATGAGGGATATTAAAAAGCAGCATTAATATAATCACTTTCATAAGCTTAATGGAAAGCTATAAGATCAGAGAGTTACGATTGGTGATATAAAACATTTCAGACTGACCTTCAGAATTTGAATATAAAACTATTTGCCAAATAGCAATCACTTTTATTTGTCCTTGTGGCTGTACCATTATAATTAAGAAAATCAGCCACATTTCCTCCACTAAGTACAAATGGTACATGAAACAGCAATGGCACTGGAATGCATTACCGTGGAATTCATTAACTTCTTTCAAATCAATGTCAGACATTCACTTTGGAGTTACTGAGAAGAAACAGTATTTGGAAAATTGGAAAGAAAAAAATCAGTTCTACCACCACCTGGTGATTAATCTCAGAATTTCAGAAGAATGAGCATTAGCGGAATATCAAAGGCCTTTTTGTCCATCTGCTT